CATCCCCTCCCTCCCTTCCCCTCTCTCTTCCCATCCCACCCTCCCTCTCCGACTCTAACTCCCCCTCCCCCTCCCCCCAGATGGAGTACTACCTCCGCGAGATCAACACCACGTACGCTCCTCGAGTCTCCGTGCAGTCGATCGGCAAGTCGGTTGAAGGGCGGGACATCTGGATGGTCCACGTGAGATCGGGAGGCTGCGCTCAAGGCAAGTCGGTTTACCTGGAATGTGGTGAGTCAGTCTGAGAAAAGTCTGTTGCTGAGTCAGTGTTGCCGAGTCAGTTTGCACAGTTATAATATCGTGACAGGGCGAGTGTGAGTTCGATTGTTGCCAATCCGAATGGGTGGATTTTGCGTGAACAGATCTAGTAACACCTCAGTAGTAATCACCAACGGTCATACAGACTCCTTGATAGGAAAAAAATCTTTGACTCCGAGATTTTGTCTATGACTCCTTACGCAACCGATGTTTGTCCAAGACAAAAGATTAAGGCAGGGCTGGAGGTGTCTCCCACGAGTAAGGACTGTCTTTTGTCCTTGTGAAACGCGGACAACAATAATATAATTTTAAACTTATTGAAGATAACTCCAATTCAGTAATGATGTGAGAAACTTCCCTGCCACTTTTCTACCTGATATCCAATGCTAGTTGAGTTGTTTCCTCGTTGTGGGTGCCAAGTAAACTTATAAATATTAGTTATGTAATATTGTTATATATCGGATTCACCGCATTAGCAATTTCATTCCACTGTTGTATTGGATAATTGTTCAAGGTATTTTAAAATCTAAATATTATTCCTAGTTAAGTGTTAATTTTGAAATGTGGCATCAGTGCGAGTCAAAGACGAAATCGCTGACGACAGTCTTAAAACGAGTCATAAACAAATTCTAAGACAGTCTTGGAGTCAAAGATTGCTTTTAGGACAGTCCTTAAATTTGTCAAAGAAAATTCTCTGTAATGTCGTGATTACAGCGCCTAGGCTACCAGATGCCTTTTATGGACCGCATGAGAGAGTGGTTGGTAAGCGTGTGAGTGAGATTACAACGAGCGTAAATAAAATTTGATAAACAGCTAATGAACACACAACAATACTGCAACTGCACGGTTAAAATACATCAGTTACAAAAAGCTTTCACACACATCGTGCAAGTTCCGACGCAATTTATATTTATTTCAACGCACTTCTCGCTTGTTTTTACACATTTTAAACATATTAGAACAAAATTCCACACAATTCTTAATTATTTTAATATATGCAAGTTTCTGCATACCTCGCACCTATTACATACTTCCTTCCACATACTTTCCACAATTTCTTTAACTTTGCACATATTTCCCCACACTCCACCCTCCCTTCAGCGCACCCCTTCTCCCACACCCACGCACTTCACACACGCATCTCCACGGCCTGTCATAACACCCCCATACATCCTTAGGTAACACACAGCCGCAGGTCAGCCTCCGACACCCTAGGATCGCCTACTGGATGATGAAACGTCGAGCTGTGTGGATAGAAGGAGGTGCGTGAGAGGCTTCCATCCTCCGCAGGTTTTCTTTGTTGCGAGTTTGTTCCTGAGGTTGAGAAGGCGTCCGGATTCTTGCTTTTGAAGTCGTAAAAAAGACAAATGTGGATGAGTATTTGGATTGTTAGATCCATTTTTAAAATGTGTATATGAATAATAATAATTAAATATAGTGAGATTGGTGGAACTAGGAACAGTCAAGGTGGAACTGAAAAACGGAAATATAGTTTCTCTCGGTAGAGAGAGGGACAGGAAGACGGACGGACAGAAAGACCGAAACAGAGACAGAAAGAATGAGAGAGAAAGAGAAAGAGAAAGAGAGACAGAGAGAGAAAGAGACAGAGAGAGA